ATCAACAACACTAGACTTGATAATTTTTCTAATTTAATATGTTTTGTTTGCATACTTACATAAGTTGTCTTACTGTGAAATGAATGAACGCCTTTTTGGCGCCATCTGTTGAAAAAGTTTGAGCTCCTTTAGAATAAATTATTATGCGTGCAGCTATAAAAAAAACTGTTATTGTGACGTCACAATGAGTGATGTAATTAGAAAGATAACAAAGTAAATACCGGGAATTTATACAGTACCGTTATTACAATATAATAGTAAACATGCAAGCTTGCAAAAAATATGAATCATTATGTTACATCTTTACCGGTTTGTTAAGTAAGTGGTAATCAGTATAGGTAGTGTAAATAGTTTTTATACATATGTGAAATTGTTCACTTGTGCAACACGATGTTCAACCAGACAATTGAATGATTAAACACTGTGTTTTCTCATATTCCATAAATCGTTTGTGTAAATATGTTAATAATGTAAATTATTATATTTTAAGCGGGCATGTATAATAATACTGTATTAATATGAAAAATTGCTATATTGTCTCCCGCGGTGTCGTGATGAGCAATTAGTTATGCAATAAATTATAAAAACTATGCTCACGCAAATCTTCGATAAATAATGTTTCTCTTTTGAATCGTTTCCTTGATTATCATGCATGTAGAGTGCAGATGGAAGGCACTAAATTATATTTTATACACAAGATAATAAATAATAATATGTTAAAAACTTCTGATGAATTTATTAGGCAGATGATACATATTCGTATGTGAAAGTAGCAATTTCATTCTTAGTCAAACCTCAAGCATTAGCTTCAGCTTAAACCTTGAGCAGTCTGGTTGACTGTCAAAACATCAGGATAATATGAAACGGTAATCACTATATTATACATTTAATAAAACGTATAATTTGTAAAGAAATCCTCTTTCTTAGTCAAGATTTCACCTCAATCGATTCAAACGAAGGTACATACGTTACGGGCAGCGTTGCCAGACGTTCCGATTTTGGCGGGACGTCCCGATTTTTAAATCAAGTTTAAATGTCCCGCGCGGGACAGGCTCGGTCCCGCTTTTCGGAAAGAACTCGACCGTACGTGGCGTACGTACTAAATCTGATTTAAAATATTTTTTTTTTGTTAAAATACATTTTGTATGGCTACTTTTGCTATCTATTGTCACGTAAACGTAATTTTAAGTCAAATAAAAAGATAAATATTTGAAAACCTTTGATTATCTATATAGTCCAGTCAATGAATGCCTTAACGACGGTGTAGAGAGAAATCCGTGGAACACAATTTCTGACCTCGGGACTTTATTTAGCCTAGTTAGGTGGTGAACATAGCAAAAGTCCCCGCCCTTAGCCCTTGAGCCGGCAGGGAGAGGGGGGTTTAAAGGTATCACTTTTCGGTTTTTCGCTTAATCCTCGGAAACTATGCATCCTAGTGACATGACTACTATGAACCAAAAAAAGCTTATTCAATTTGCTACAGGTGAGACCGTCAAGTTTTTCTATATCTTGTATAGTTTTTGCGGCATCTGCTCTAGAAGGTCTGTAAAATTGGAAATTTTATTGTTGTCTTACATGTTCCTTTCAGGAGAAAATCGACTAAATCAACATTGAGCAAACACTATAGACATGCGGGAGCATGTTAAGCCTAGTTTCATGGAGGGGACTGCACCGTGCGTATATTTAGACGAACCAATTAGCGCCACTTTTGACTCCTCATCATTCAAAAACTACTGTGCATTAACACTTCAAATTTGGCTCATGTATTGAGACTTGCAAGATATACATCAGCTTCAAATTTCATAAATATACCTCAAANAAACTGATGTATATCTTGCAAGTCTCAACACATGAGCCAAATTTGAAGTGTTAATGCACAGTAGTTTTTGAGTGATGAGGAGTCAAAAGTGGTTCAAAGTGATTCGTCTAAATATACGCACGGTGTAGTCCCCTCGCTGGAACTAGGCTTAACATGCTCCCGCATGTCTATAGGGTTTGCTCAATGTTGCTTTAGTCGATTTTCTCCTGAAAGGAACATGTAAGATAACTATAAAATTTCCAATTTTACAGACCTTCTAGAGCAGATGCCTCAAAAACTATACAAGATATAGAAAAACTTGACGGTCTCACCCGTAGCAAATTGAATAAGCTTTTTTTGGTTCAAAGTAGTCATGTCGCTAGGACGCATAGTTTCCGAAGATTAAGCGAAAAACCGAAAAGTGGCACCTTTAAACCCCCCTCTCCCCGCCGGCTCAAGGGCTAAGGGCGGGGACTTTTGCTATGTTCACCTCCTAACTAGTCTAAATAAAGTCCTGAAGTCAGAAATTGTGTTCTACAGATTTCCATCTATAATGCTTTATTGACTGGACTAATAGTTGTTTTACTATGTCCCGCTTTTGACGGAAGAATCCCGCTATTTTCACTCAAAAAGTACCAAAGTCCCGACTTGGCAAAAAAAAAAACTGGCAACGCTGGTTACGGGTGATGACATTACCGATTCAAAGTTTTACTTAAGTAGTCACTTATAATCACTTTTAATCCCACCAGTACACGATCTCGATCGAAACATCCAACATGGTTTTACACACATTTTAGTATCATTAGAGGTTCATATAAATAAAATATCTAGTCCGCCACGTACACTCGGCTACAGTGTTGCCCGTTTTATTTGGTTATATTCCAACCGCTTAACTTTAATTAAGCAATTTATATTCAAGTTGCACTGAAGAGTGGTTCTACTATATTATTTATTGCCTGAATTAAAGCAGCGGTGTTACGTTTTGTTACGTTTTAATGTGCTACAGACTTGACTGGTGCCGCAGACGGGACAGAACGGCCAGTTTGTTAAAGAGTAAGTAGGTGTTATTAAATTCGTAATTATTCAGAACAGCTGTCAGGAACGGATCATTGTGGACGATTAGTTGTCTCTTTGTATTGTAATAATGTACTTGCAAAACATGCTTTGTAACTAAAATTGCTCATTCAGAGTCATAGTAATCATGAATATCATGTACAATTTGAATTTTAATCATTATTAGTTTTTAATGCCTTTGATATTAATTTTTAATGCTATTATTTTTAAACCGCCTCCATCTTACCCGATGGAAAGTTATCATACTAATATTATAAATGCGAACGTTTGTATGGGTCGTTGGATGTCTAGATGTTAACATGTTTGTTACTTTTTCACGCAAAAAATACTGAAATAGGCTATAATTTATGATGATATGTGACTAACTAAATTTCACGCGGGTGAACCCGCGGGCAAAAGCTAGTAATTTATAAAGCTTCAACACTGAATAGCTTTCCATTGACTTCGTGAGGCTAGAGCGGTTGATCTTTAGCGACATTCGTTTCACACATGGGGGTGGTCTCAATTCGATACATATTCTGCCCCACTTGCGTAAAAGAGTTGAGCTGGCTTTTATATTTGCGCTAAGCTGGTGCTGAATGTATGTCTCAATTTTTTAACATGTGAATATATTTTGTTGGATTTCGGGGCTTTTGTCTTAATTAATTAGTACAATTGCGTTTACATTAGTTTTATTGTGTCTGTGTGATTTATACAAAGATTTTGAAAGATAAAGCAAGAATAAATTTAACATGAAATTTATAATTAAATGTATAATATTATTTATTGCCACGTATAAATGTGCAATATAAATAAGAGATGGATTGCGGTATTTTACATTACCCTTTATAGAGCAGCAACGTTTTTTGTAGAATTAGAATTTTTACTTTTTTATTTATTCGGGTTTGGCTGTCCATAAGTAACCAAAACCATTTAGGGAAAATTGTTGGTCGTTTTATTGGAAACTTATGACTGTTTAGGGAAAAAAATTGCTTATAAATCCAGATAAAATTTAAACAAATTTAATTAAAAACAGTATAAAACATTACAAACAGTTCATATTTGTAATCAAAGTGACTAAATGTACTAATAAAACTAAAATTACTCTTTTTTAGTCTTTAGTCCTTTAAAGTTTGAATCTCCACTGATATGCATGTCAATTTCGTACCCTTCATCATTATTACTTGAAAATATTTCTGTACTACCAGGCCTGTTCATCTCCGCGAGTTTACATCGAAAACAAAACACGCACGATGGCCCACCTACAGGATACTATTCAAGGCCTCACATATTAGCGAACATTGACTCACGCACGCGTAATTCTTGTGTATGATGGAACAAAATAAAGAAAATAGTGGTACTAAATACTGTGCAGTATTTAACTGGCTAAATAATAATTATCCTGCTTTCGCCTCCGAGATTTATTTTACCATGTAGTACCCCTGTACGACAACCCAATCCGCACACAATATTCAGCGTAGTAGTATTAAAAAACAAANCAAATAACAATAACAAACAACTCGTGGAGAAATCTCATAAAACATAACCGGCCATACAAGGCAAACGCACACGTACTGACTAATATTTGACCTGCCTGAGAGATTAATTGTGATTCGATGGTGAGATGACCACCATATCGATTATTGATTGGACGCGATTGTTCATGTCCATCCCTATGTGAGCAAAAGTTCCGATTAACGCATTAAGCATTTCATGTAATATTTTTTCACAAATTTTAATAAATAATAAACTAATAAGTATTTGAAATTCTTGTTTAGGTTAATTGAGAAAGATTATTAATGTTATTTTGGAAGGATGAAAGCACAAAAACGTGATTGATTTTTACACCTCAATATTTTTATTCTTAAGAAGTTGGATTCATGAAACGAAATGTTTCAACTGTCTAAATCACCATCTTAAGCTGAATGAACTACCTATAAAACAGCTGTGTTTTGCAAGGAGTGACGTCACTCAAGACGCCATGACGGTCGTGAGCGTTTTTGAGGGCTTTATGTCAAATATTATTTAAAATGCAAAATAATCCTTGAAGATGAGCTTTTTTTTTCAAAATAAGAGCGCATTTGTATTAAATAGGCATCAAGGTATATTATTAACTAATTATTGAAATTTAGGCGAAAAGCCTGTTTTCAATTTCTTGACATCTGGATTAAAGTTATCTTTACTACCCGTTTTTATTGCCTGCGTGCGTGTCTGATTATTTTCTGTCATTCACGTCAAAATGACAATACTCGGTAATGTTGTGAGGGTCAAAAATTTGATACAGCCCTACAAATTGTTGGAAAATGTTACGATATTGGCAAGACGGAGTCTTGGGAGCAGTAAGTTTTGCTTTTGCAATCAAGGCCAACCTTGATATTTCATTTACCGCCTAACCTCACTCCTATCTACCTGCTAACCCACTTTTGATACGATCTCTTTTGATGTTCATCTCATCACATCCTAATCCTGAATGCTTGGACCTTGGAATGGTGTCTGATACAATTTACATGTACCTTGAACCTATACATAGGTATTTGTTAGATTACATCAACTTTTTTCTTTATACCTACATAATACACATTACCCTGGTTAATCAGTACTTGTGTATAAATTTAGTAGTAATACCAGCATACTAGAATAATTTGTTTGATGACTCCAGGCGGCTGGCTGTGTTGTAGCCGCAGAGCCAAGTTAGTTGCCCCCAGTGACTGTATTGACAGAGGTACAGTATGTTGTCATCAACTCACAGGGGCTGTGTGCTAATCGTTTGTTCCGTCCAATATGCACCACTATTGCAAAAACCATTACAAATACTGCAACACACTTACATTTTGCATAGATCTTGCCATAATTGTAATTAACTTATAATTTTATAGTAAATAATTTTTAAAATTGAACGGCTAGAAATAAAGTGTAACTTATATTCATATTGACCAAAATTCTAACAAGAATCTCAAAGTACATAATCTTGTCCTAAAAATTTATGCTTTTAAGTGGTTAAAATTTCATTTACACTTATGGCATCATCTGCTGAAGCATTAACACCTGCTGAATATACACAATACACAAGTAAAAGACAGTTGGTATCATAATGGTGTGGTGTCTTCTAGATGGAAACTTTGATTATGACTTGGCGGTCATTGGTGGCGGGTCGGGGGGGCTGGCGTGCGCGAAGGAGGCCGTAAACCAGGGCGCCAAAGTCGCGGTGTTAGACTACGTCACGCCCTCGCCGCAGGGCACCAAGTGGGGCCTTGGTGGGACATGTGTGAACGTCGGATGTATACCCAAGAAGTTGATGCACCAAGCAGCGTTGCTGGGCGAAAGCATACATGTGAGTATTTTTTTCTTTTGTATTCAGTTTATGTTAGATGGTGATAATTATTTATGAATAGATGATTTAATTCTTGTGCAATTATTTATTAAATGTGTACTTACAATTTTAATAAGTATGTGAAAAGTTTTTAATGTTTCTGAGAATTTTGATTCTTGACTTTATAATTGTGTCTTGTTTGTAGGCGTTGGTAAGTGATAGAAATCCTCAAACTGGACCCTCTCCCTATATCCTAACCTGCGAACTTGGATTATTCTTGAACTGGGCTAGTGGTTTCTTTTTTTTTTTTAATTTTTATGTAGAAGTTTTATCACAAATAAAGCAGTGCTGTCGGTATTTTTAGATCTGTTGTAAAATTCAATTTAACCTCGTAAGACCGAAGAGCAAATTTTGTCGACTTCTAAGTATCGCCGAATGTGCATTCAGAAGAACGAACAATTTGAAGTCGTAAACGCCGAGCACTTCGAGTAAAAAATTTTCTATGTTAGAGATTTTCTTTTGCACCCATATTTTCAGGGACCCTATATAATAGTGCATAGAGCTTATTTTAGGTTAAAAATAATAAAAAAATGTTTTCTCTTAAAAGAACATTCGGTATTACAGACTTTAAAAAGAAAAAGTAAATAAATTGTATTTTATACTTTAAAGTAAAACATAAATGTAACCTCCTTAATAAATTAATACTACATTAAGGGATTACTAATGTTTGGCCAAAAAACGTTTCCCAAATTATCACATGGCAAACAACGTTTCGCAAATTTTCATTTGGCAAATTCTCATTTGGCAAAACAACTTATTGCAAACTTTTAATTCGCAAATGTCTTTTTTGGCATATTATTGTTTAGCAAATTATTGTTTGGCAAAGTATGTTTTGCCAAATGTTTCATTTGGCAAAAATATTTCACGATAAACTATTTACAAAATAATTTGATTGGTGCATAGAATGGAATACAAATTAGCTTGTGGTTATTATTTTGTTTAGTGGGTAGTTAATATAAAATTTGTTCTAAATTTATTTTCATATTTCATTATTTTTATCGAAACTAAATGATTAATTAACAATAGAGGTGATTCTAGCGCTCGGCGGCCGCTGCCGCGGCACGCTTCGCTCGCCTTCGCGCGTTAAGGGTCACTGTTCTAACCTAACCTAACCTACTATTTTCTGCAAAACCTACTTTCGCATCCATACTATTTTCTGCAATCTCTTTGTTTTACATAAAATTCTTGTGAAAACCATGATCATTTGCCTTGTGCTTTGATTTGGCGAAAACAGGATAATTTAGATCGAACTTCACTTGGTAAGTTCGTTTGATCATTCAATAAACACGCAGAATGTACTTTTTTAAGTTGCCTCAAGACACTGAGAGGTAAATAAGTAGTTAACATTATTCATGCTAAATCATATATTTCCTCCGCCATTTTCCGCAGTTCGGCACCTCACGTCACATCATTTTACTGAAGTCAGCCCTATAGCTTCGGTGCAGTGCCGATCCCTGACGTTTGTCAACAAAATGGTGCTTGACTCTTGATACACTTAATATTATTCTGTGGTACCTACTACTAATGGCTCCACCAGACGCTCTTCTAAGTCCTCGTGTATAAAGACGTTCACGTCCTTGCGTTTTAACAGGACCTCTGTGGGCTGAGTGTGAGTTGGAGAGCGCTTTTAAAAAAAAATGTATGACGATTTTAGTTTTTGATAGTCTCCCGCTAGGGGTCATCCATAAAGTACGTCACACGTAAAGAGGGGGGGAGGGGGTTGACAAAGTGTGACATGGTGTGACAAGGGGTGGGAGGGGTCCTAAGTTTTGTGACATCACATTTCAATTGTTTCAAATTTTTGATATAATGTTGATTTCATAAAAAAAAGTGCTTAAATTAAATGGAAATAAAACTAATTTCGGAACTACTGTTAATTTAATAATTTTTCGATGTGGAATTGCAAAACATGTGACGTCACACTAGGGAGGGGGGGTCTCAGAAATGTGACCACCTGTGACAAGGACGGAGGGGGGGCAAAAAATCGTGAAATTCGTGTGACGTACTTTATGGATGGCCCCCTAGGGGCGTTGAACACACCTTCATACATTTAATGTCAATTTTTGACGCGCACACTAGTGAGCGCGTTTGAAAAAAACTCATACTCAGCCCTCTGTACGAATATTACCCCATCATCTTATTGAGTCGGTGACTGCTGGTGATATATGTAGGTATTCCAATCACCACTAATAGCTGGAGCTAAAGATTGACGTAGATGTTGTCCATGGCATCATGTAGAAAGTTTCCTTCAACCGAAAATCTCCATAATAATAAATAAATAAATAAATCTTTGGACAATTTCACACAGCGCCAGCTAGCCCCAAAGTAAGCAACTTTAATGCTTGTGTTATGGGTGCTAGCTTAACGGATATACTACTTATATATATTTTTTTAAATACATACATATTATACATAGTCACACCCAGACCCGTCACAGAAATTAAAATTCATCATTTCAATTTCTGCCCGGCCGGGAATCGAACCCGGGGCCTCTCGGCATAGTAGTCCGTTCTGAACCACCACTACACCAAACGGCCGACTAATGATGAAATTCAGAAGAAGGTCATTCTCAGCAAATAAATGATTTTATTTATTTATCTTTACTAATATTATAAAGCTGAAGAATTTGTTTATTTGTTTACTTGAACGCGCTAATCTCAGGAACTAGATACTGGTCCGATTTGAAATTGGTTTTTGTTGGAAAGCCCATTTGTCGCTGAAGGCTTTAGGCTATATATCATAACGCTAAGACCAATAGGAGCGGAGCACCAATGAAAAATAATTCCCATCAATGAAAAAATCGGGGATTTTTTTCCTTTTGAAAGCTGCCGGTGCGTAAACGGTTAAAGTTTCGCAAAAATCATGTATGTCAGGATTGTTCTTCTTTAAATGTTTTAAAAAAAAGTCCGCGATAGCATAATAATATAATAATAATAATATTTAAAATCTGACTTCACTTCATTTATTACTTGCGCCCGTTCTGGGAATACTCATTTATGCAATAATGTCGATTATATCAATGCAAGTTCATATAAATTATGAGCAACCTTGTCAGGTGGTTACAGCCGCCATACTAATTTCGCTTCTGCCTTATAAAGGGTAGCATGGCAATTACGTTTTTGCATTTTAAGATGAGTTTGATATATAGTACTTGTTTCGTATAATATTATGCGATGTATTATGATAATTATTATGATAATTAAGGTAAGTGCAGGTAATTACGACAGGTACCCAATACTCGTCACATTTTATAAAAACGCTTGTTAAAATTTTCCACCAACGTTAAACCGCAGAATAATAAAATATGTACTACGTACAGAAGTTTTACTTCGCGAAGGTATTTAAAAAATAATAATAATAACAATTTGGTGTAATTTAGACTGACTCAAGAATCAAGCACCATTTTGTAAACAAACGTCAGTGATTGAGTTGACTTCGGTAAAATTATGTGACGTGAGGTGCCAAACTGCGGAAAATGGCGGAGGAAATACATGATTAAGCATGAATTAACATGAATAATATTAACTACTTATTTATCTCTCAGTGTCTTGAGGCAACTTAAAAAAGTACATTCTGTCTTTTTATTATTATTTAGGCAGTTAAATACTGCCCAGTATTTAGTAGGTACACCATTTTCTTTATTTTCTTCCATCATACACAAGAATACGCGTGCATGAGTCAATGTTCGCTCGTATCGTATGTGAGGCCTTGTTGAATAGTATCCTGTAGGTGAGCCATGGTGCGTGTTTTGTTTTCGATGTAAACTCGCGGAGATGTACAGGCCTGGTTAAACTTAAAATCTTTTATGGCACAATATTTTTGGGATTTTAATACGAGGGCTGTCTTTCAAGTCGTGTTTATTTGCCATCCTCCCGCGATTTAAAAAAAAAACAAATTAGCATTTTCATGTTATTGAATTTACGAATGGAAAAATAAAAAGTTTGTTCTGAATGGTCGAATAGTTTTATTGCATCGTCTATACAAAATTGACGTCTATTGCAAAACTTTCCAGTTAACAATTTCTTTAAATAATTCGCGCAGTTAGTCACGGGGGCCAAGACAATAAATTGCACGTACCTACTGCTCTTTTTTGTAGGACAAAGATAAGTTCATATGTCAGCAGCGGAACCCCAGAGTAAAATGCCATACGACATTATAATAATAATCTTGCCGTTGCAATATCAGTTGGACTTGGAAGCCTTATTTACTTACGGCAAAAGCTGCAGAACTGAGCCTTCCTGGCAAGGCATAATATGAGGACCCCATTGCAGTTTACATTCTAATGCAACTCCTAGGAATATTGTCGAGTTTACTGCATCTATGCGATCATCTACGATAAAATCATGAGTGCTTACCTGCCTTACATTGGGCAAAGTAAAAGTACATTTAGTTTTTTTTGCGTTCGCTTTACGTGTCTCACGTTTCCATTACACACTGATTAAGAGCTTACAGAGGTATTCAGGACAAAAAGAAGTCGTTTCCCGAAAACCCAGCCGAGTTGGGTCTCTTTCTAGAAGTTGGCCCTACCTACTCATAACTAGAAGTTTGGTTAGGTACGCCTACATATATCTACGACATGAATTTACCCATCAGGGTATACAATTCTTTATTAATGGTTTTGTCGCCTTTTTTGAAGAAGGGTACTACCACACTTCGATACCAATTACCATGCCATCAGCGTTTGTCTCTCATGTGAAACAGAGTAGAAAAGATCCTCAAGAACAGGTGTTCTGCCGTGCCGTGCTCAGCCGTGTCTCCAACATTTATTACCCGGTGTCATAATGTTTTAGCAATTCAAGAGTTATTACAAGTACGTACTTTTTCTCACGATGACATCCCGTTTTATGCAGAACCCGATTTAGGAGTAGTACTATAAGTATTTTCATACGAACATCCTGTTTGCAGTGTCGAGCAAAAAACCGATAGAAAATTAAGCTCTCAAAAATATAAACTAATCCGTCGGGCTATGTCAGCGAAAGATCTCCTCATTCCTGATTCGATCTCGTAAATAAACACCGAGCATTGTCCTTTCCATAGCACGCTGTGCAATTTTGAGCTTATCTGTAAGACCTATAATGAGAGGCCATGTTTACAAGCCGTATGGCCATACCATATCTGGTAACACACACTGATTGAAGACTTTCGTCTTTAGGCACTGTGGAAGATACTGATGAGCTGATAAAGGTAGCAGGAAGGCGCTGGATGCAGGCCGCCGTCAACCGACTACTGTGGAAATCATTGGGAGAGGACTATATTCAGCTGTGTTGCGAAAACGGGGAAAAATGATCAAAACATTTCCGCACAT